CATATATCACAAAAAATGTGACCAAGTCCCAGGTTGCTGATCTGACTTTCTACCTCATTTACACACAATTGCAGGGTCTCAATTGCTTCTCTTACTATTGACAACACAACATACATACTGTAGGCTCTCACCAAAAACGACTTCCACAATAACGTTTTCGACAATAACGGTAAGTTACAATAGATACCCATTTTCGATAATAACATCTGGATTCTCTTGAATAACGGAAATTTCGCGGGAAGCGTCCGAGCTCATCAATGATAGCGTTTGTTTGCCGCCATGTTGATGACGTAGTTGTCCACTCCGGCTCACTCTCACACACGCTCAGTGGAATATAGCGCTGCGCCCACGTGTGAGATTTTCGCCACTATAACCAGTGGTTGTTAGGGTCGGTGATCAATAATGGCTTCTGCATTTTTGCCTGTGAGGGCTAGGGGAGGTGGTGAAGGGAGTGATTTGCCACCTGAATGACAGGGAACTTTTAAAGTGAGGAAATTGAACTGTCCTGAGTCTACAGTGCGAAATATTAAGAGGAACTTAGAGGAGACCAAGAAGAGTATTGTGCTGGCTAAAAATATTTCGGTAGTGATGGAAATGCGAGCTGAGCTATGAATGATAAAGGCGATAGAAACAGGTTGTTAGTGATAACAGAGCATTTTCTTGTGAAATGGTTAGCTTGTACAGTGGCGGCTCGTGCATAGGGCTGCAGAGCTGCAGTCCCCCCAGACACTCACTGCCAGGCGTATGATTCCTTTAGAGAGACAGCTGAATAATACACTACCAACAAATATATCATTTTATATGTTATTTAATTATTTTCAATACGTTGCTAAGTGAATTTTCATTAAAATCAGACCAAAATTTAAGTTACTTTCATAGTTGCTGTCAATGCTGTACGATTCATGTCTGTTATTAATTGGCGCCGCCGCCGCACCACTTCTGGAGACAATGAGCTGCACTTGAAGCAGCTCAGTCTCGTACAACGTGTTTACATTGCGTGTGGACGGTGTGGTTAAATCGTGCTTTCTTTAATTACCCTTTGACGATGGAAAATCGAGTGAAGTATTTGCAAAACATCAACTTTTCCCAGCTGACATTAAATGAAAAGACTGAAATCAAAGCAAGAGGAAGACCTACACCAGTTTTATCCATTCAACAGAACAGTACAAGCAGGAACAAAGAATATACACGCCAGTTTAACATCAGTGTTTATCAGAAATGTGAATGGCTCTGTGGTTGTGACGAGGCAAATACTTTATTCTGCTTTCCATGCTTAATGTTTGGTGGGGACTCGGCATGGACGAAAAGTGGTGTGACTGACTTGAGGCATTTGCCACAGAAAATAGTGAAACATGAGCAGTCAGCCAAACATATGAATAACATGAGTAATTTATCGTTGCTGGGTAAAGTGAACATTGCAGCTCAGATTGACACAGCATACAAGCTCTCAGTTGCAAAACACAATGAACAGGTGAAAAAAAACAGATGTGTTATCCAAAATCATAAACTGTGTAAAATTTTGTGGAAAATTTGAACTCCCTCTTAGAGGACATGATGAAACAATGAGCTCTAAGAATCCGGGAGTATTTCGTGGATTAGTTGATTTTGCTCGTGAACTGAATTCTAGCTTAGATGCTCATTTAAAGACCGCTACAGTTTTTAAAGGAACATCTAAATCAATACAGAATGAACTTTTAGAATCTATGTTGGAAAGGAGGTCTGTGACGTAATTTTGCTGCAGTGCAGAGAGAGATTCAGCTTTACTAATCATTTGGAAGCAAGCAAGTTACTTTTAGTGAATAATTTTCCAGTGTATACCAAAAATTTCCCTAGTAATGAACTTGAACAAGCAGTTGCAGCATATCCCATGCTTGAAAAAGACAAATTGAGAACTGAACTTACTGTAC